AAATGTTAAAATTACTTTGAATTTGTAGATAAAGTCTGAAACTTTGATTCTTGGTCTAGCTGGTAGTATGGAACAAATTTAAAGTATTTTTCTTTTATTTCTCTGACTACCTTTTGGATCAATCACATCAATTTATTTATAATTTTGAGATCGATGGTACAGAGAGAATTAGTTGGCCACTTTCTCACTCAATGTTTTTGTTTAACTTTACTTCATTATAAAGACAAACATTTTAAGGAAACAAAAAAAAAACAATCTCTATTTCAAATTTGACCAAATAATATATAACCTTTGATCTAATCATGAATTTAACTAGACTTAGATGATAGATAATGAAAGCTAGTCTATAAAGAAATATACAATCATAATTGTGAAGCACTGTATTATTAGTTCAGATGTTACAAATAATAAATTTGGTCCTACTGTATTAGTTCAGATGTTACAAAATAATAATTGATTTGGACCAAAACGGTTACGTTTGGTGGAGGGATTTTGTCGTACACTTATCATGACTACGTCAGTTAATGATGCAAGCAAAAAATAAAATGTGTTTTTTTTTTTGTTTGACTGATGTCAAGAATTTTGATCATAGACGAGGTTGTCTCTGATGTTGACTAGATTGCTAACATCGGTTTGTATAAGAAAAACCAATGAATTCGATAATCGTTATGAATAATTATGCGTTACGAAGATAATTTGTTTGGTCGGATGATAAATGTTAATACTATTGAGAAAGAGTCTCTTATTTAGTTTGAAAAGTTAGTTATCTCATGTACCAAACAGGCTACTAAAGATATGTCGATTATGATGAATTTCAACCAGCTTGATATTGATGTTTCGAGATAAAAGTGTAGTATGTAGTTGTTTCAGACTTTCAGTAATATAAAGAAATTGGAGAGAATTAATAGAAATCGAGGGTTTGATGTAAGAAAGCAAGTAAGAATAATAATGAGATGATATAAGCTTGGAATACAATTTAAGCAATTAACCCAAAGTGACAAGACAATGCTCCTTCCCAAACATTCATTCTTCTTCTTCATAGGGTGATTCATTTGGTCGCATCGCATGCGTTTGTCTTTTTACCGACTTACAAATTTTTCCATTTTTTTTGTTAACCAAATTTCTTGTCTCTAAATAGGATCAAATAGATATATGGGATTTTAATGCTTAAATTATTGTTTTGGTGATTTAAATTACTCAAATAGCACTTGGACCGAGGAAGTAATTACAACAAAATGTCTATCTCCAAGATATCATGATAGTATGACACATAAGAAAATGTTATAATGAATATTATATTTGTTAAGTGGTTATAGGGTTTTTGGTCTGCCAATGTTTATTGCATAATTATTGAGCGAATTAGTCTCTAGGGAAGATTTTGGATATACAAATGTTTATAAACAAGAAACACGAGGAAATGCTGACTAAACATCATGTGATGTCAGATAATATTTCAGAGACACAAGCTTTTGAGTGCCTTTCAAGCAAAGCTAAACATGTACCACTCTAATATATTTATGTTAAAACATAATACTAGCCTCCATATTTTTATGTTTTATATAGATGCATGCATGCAATTATCATTAATTCATACATGACACTACAAGAAAATAAGGCAATTTCAAGGCATTTTCAACTGATTTTTTTCTGTCAGAAAATCCAGATCGAATTCAAACGGAATTCAGATTAATTTTTCACAGTCATAAAGTCGTCACAAATCGATGGGAATTTTCCGACAGATTATAAAACTATCGGATATTATTCGGAAAAACAGTCGGAATTCTGTGGGAATTTGAATCCGTCGGAAATCGAAAAGAAAAAAGTAGTAAATAATATACCCACGAATAATATTCCCTAAAAAATCAGTAAAAATTTTCTTGGGAACATTTCCAACGGATTTCTTAGAGAATGTGGTTTAGAGTTACAGAATTTAGTCATAATATTCAAAAAAACTAATCCTACAAAATAAGTTATATATAAAATATAGTTTTTCAAATAAAATGATAAACAACTTGCTTTCATTTTAGAATGTTATAACTTCTACAGAAGAGTTTTACAACTTCTAATTTAAGTTATAGTATACATCACTAGAGTTATTTTTGTTTCTGCATATATGTTTTGTACATTACACATAAATTAAATTTAAACATGTTTTAGTTGGGTGATGATATTATTTTTCCAGTATAATGTATTTTGACATTGTTTATATCAATTTTGCATACCCTATATCCTAATTCCGATGAAATCTGTGAAAAATTTCTAACGGATTTCCAACGGCTTAATATTTAAAAAAAAAACATAATTGCTGTGGGAAATTCGTCGGAAATTTGATGCATGTGTTTCCGACGGATTTTGAATTTTGGATTTTGATGCATGTTTTCTTGTAGTTGTAGTGTGAAGGAATAGACTACATTGACATTAAAAAAAAAATCAAAGATATATACACTGACAAACACATCCGCCATATATATACGATACAAGTAGAGAGGTGTCGACTTCATTTTTTTTTTTAATTACACGAAGCCTTAAGCTTATCATATTTATTATCAAGAGAACGATTGCAGAACCAACCAATCTTCAATCTCAAGCATCCATACATAAATGAACACTAAACTATCATCAAATAAGATAATATAATAAATTTTCTCAATAATAACAAAAATGGACAATATAATTGAATTGTTTAAGAACCGGTGATGCAGTAACAAACTAATCAAATTATATACCGGAACAAACATTTTTAATCTCCATCCTACTTGTATAATTAACCGGAACCATCTCTTTGATAAACCATTAAAAATGTTCCCAAAAAACAAACTAAATTAAACAAAACAGCATCGTATTCTCTGGTTAATCATTTTCGAGTTAAAAAAAAGCACAATACT